ACCCTCCGGTCACACATAAATCACCACATGGGTAAGGGCCCGTTTGATAATTGTTGACTGAGAAAGTGCTGACTGCGAAATGTCTGTTTGGATAAGAAATTCTAACTGAGTAAGAAATTCTGATGTTTGATTATACATCTGACTGAATGTGCTGAGTGATGAAAATGACCATTTTACCCTTCTGTTATACATAGTGATGGATTAAGTTGCTGAATAATTATAAAAACATATATACTGTCATACAAAATGTAAATTACACACAAACAAAAAATGTCATTCAAAATGTAAATTAAACATAAATCATTTAATATCCAAATAAAAACATAATGAAATTCAAAATAACACAATAATTTAACGTAAAGTAGGTGAAAGTAGTTGATTTGCAATCTGATCACGCAAAACACACATACATTCAACGGGTTCTGGACCTCATTCTATGCCTTGTATGTTTTCTCTATCAATTCCCCCACCTTGGACTTCAGGAGTAACCATAGTGTCCTCCTCACAATTTCTAAACAAGTCATCTTCTATATTGTATTTCCTTATAAAATTATGGACCTCAACACAAGCAATGACTATGTATCTTTGCACTGTAAAAGGATAAGGAGCCATTTGTTTTAAGATTAGGAATCTCACCTTCAAAACACCATATACACGCTCAATAACATTTCTAAGTTGTGCATGAGCATAATTGAACCTTTCTTCTCTAGTTAAAGGTCCGCCTCTTCGAAAATCGGCTAACCAATACCTAGTATTGCAGTATGGAGCCATAAACCCACGAGTGTTTGTATATGCGGCATCACAAAGGTAATATTTATCTGCAAATGAATGTGAAACATATTATATAATGACACATATTATATAAAGAAGATAGATAATAAAAATTATATAAAGATTCCAAACCTGGTGGTGGAAATGGAAATCCAGAAGTCGAATTGAATGTAACTTCTTTCAAAACTCTTGAATCATGTGCTATACCTTCCCATCCAGCCCAAACAAAGGTGAATATCATATCAAAATCACAGATTCTTATTACATTTTGAAAACATTCTCCTTTTCCTCTTCCTCTATAACGAGTTTGTTGATCAAAAGGTACAACCGCATGTACAAGAGTTCCATCTAATGCACCTATTGCTCCGGAAAAAATATTTTTTAACCGTCTATGTCGTTCTGAGTTATGTCTTGTTGGATTAGGAGTTGTTTGTACTATAATTTCTTTTGAAAAACACATCACTGTTGTTAAGACCTCATGAAAACATTGATGAATCGTTTGTGTGGAGTTATGAAATGTTCCCTTAACGGCGTGAAAATGTTCATTATGTCCTATAACATGTAAGAATATAGCCATCTTCTCTTTAATGCTTATTGTCCTACTAGCTTGCAACCAATTTTTTAGGGTAAAGTGGTTGCATAATAAAGCAAATGCTTCTTGTGTAAGACACATCATATCGAAACATTGTGTAGGGTCTCCATACATCAAATCTTGCGTATACGCATACCCGCTTGAATTGTTATCTCTAATTCTATGAATTCTGATTAGAATACACCGGTTTAACCTCAACCAATGAAACACAAGTAAAAGAAAAGCTACAACTTCACCATCAGAAACCATGTTAAAGTAACAAACAATTAGGCAACATGTTAAAGTAACAAAAGTCATATAATAAACGTCATATAACAAAAAACTAGTAAATAACAAAAGTCATATTCACTATCCAAATATCATCCAAAGTAACAAAAGTCACATAACAAAAAAAAACTATTACACATCATCCAAAGTAACATCCAAAAAAGTCATCAAACATAGGATTCAAAAGTCATGCAAATAACAAAAAGTCATGCAACAAAAACATAGTAAACATCATCAAAGGTAACCATACTTCCTACCTGCACCCATCACCCACGACTCACAACTAGTATGCGAAAGTCGTAACCAAACTTTCCTAACATCGACACTTTCACCAAATAGCAAAAGAGCAGTTTTGTGTCTTTCATCTTCTTCTCCCCATTCCATTTTGTTTAATTTCTCCATACACGCATCAACATCCTTATCCATTTCACTTTTTTCAATTCTTTCATTTTTTTCCACTAACGACCTTGCAAGCTTGACAATCTCCTCTTCAACTTCTAATGCCCTTGCATCTCTCTTTTTTTCCACCAACTTTTTTGTTTCCACCAACTTCCGTATTTTTTGAACGTCCCGAAGATTCTTCACTTGCACCTACGTGTTGTGTTGAGGTTTCCATTGAAATATCATCATCAAAATCATGGGCACTAAACTCCTCTACAGGACGAGGGAGTGTAGAAGATGGCTCCCAACTTTGAAAGCAAGTTGAGGTCGACCCTTCAAATAGTTGGGTGCAAAGATCAGGAAACAACAGGGGTTTAGTTTTCAATGACAACACGAACTTGTTCAACTGTTTACAATTTTGAAAAATATTAGTATTTTTTATAAAAATAATTATTCTAGACCTGCGTGCTCTTACCCTTGTGTACTCGGAGGGTTCTCCTCCACTTTGATCCTGCTTATACCTCACTGCTCAATGCTTGAGAAGAATTCTCAATCTTCTCTGCTATGCCGCAATCAATCTGCTGAAGAACCAAGTTTGCCATAGCTAGGGATCTAACCGATCCATTACTCGATGACACCTTCCTGAATCTAGTGGGACACTACTGAGTCCCACATAAGCATGCTATAGTTACTGGATCCTAAGTAACCTGCTTCCATAGGGAACGACCCCTAACTACCATTTTAATACCCAAGGTATGTAGATGGCATATAACTAAATCACAAGCAAGCCACACAATTCTAAAATACTTATACCAATAACGATGCAAAACCTTAACAATATAATCATGAATGAAGGAAACTGAAAACGGAAGTCGCATACCTGCGACGTCCGGCGTTGCTCGCGTCTCCATGGTAGTCATCTGAAAAGCCCTGCCTCCTACTGCAGGCACCTCTGCTCGGCCCTGACGGCCGTCTGTGATCCTCAGAGTTGCAGGGGCAGGTGCTATCACCCGTCCTGCCGAAAACAAACTGGGGCACTAGGCCTTTTTGTGGCCCCGCTGACTATAGTGGAAACATATCAAGTCTGATCCCTGTATGGTGGTAGCAGTACATCCCCTGCTAAGATGACCAGTCCGACACGCACCCTCGTGCATCCTGCCGCACCTCCCGCATCGGCCGCGACTATGCTAATCCCTCGATCTCGAATCTGACCCCTTGGGCCTTTTGCCTGAACATGTGGCTACTTGAACCTCATCCGGCTTCCTCTTCCGGATTTGCTCCAAATCAATCTCTCTCTCTCTAGCTCAAGAAATCATATCTTCCAGCATCTTACAGCCGGACCTGCTCACGAACTCCCTAATGTCAGCCCTCAACATCTCGTGATATTGGGCCTTCTTCATCTCCTCGTCCGCGACATATTACGGAACAAGGAGAGCCCTCTCCCTGAACTTGGCGGTGATCTCCGCCACAGTCTCAGTAGTTTGTGTCAAATCCTGAAACTCTCGTGCCAACTGCTGCACCTCAATAATCGGTGAAAACTCAGCCCTAAACCTGGCCGAGAAATCGCTCCATGTCATCGCGTCCAATGCGGCATCGTCACCAATGGCATGATCAACCTCCTCCCACCAATCCCTCGCTCCATCCTTCAGAAGACAGGAGGCGAGTCTGACCTTGTCCCCCTTCGGGACACCGGCTCGTACGGAATGCGTTCGCAACATCGGCCAACCACCTGCTGCTAGCGATGGGGTCCCTAGCCCCATGATAATCTGGCGCTCCGCAAGCTCTAAACTCTCGGAATGTCATAGTAAGTGCTCCTATCAAAGCCATTATCTTGGTACGAAAGGCTCCCAGCCTCTCATCCAAGATCTTCAATATACCCTCCTTGACCGTGCCAAAGATTATAGGAGTCTGATCTAGGATACTGTGCGTAACCTCCGCTGATATCAATTCCCTCATCCGCTCCTCGAGTTGCTCGGCCCTTGAACCCGAGCATGATCCCTCTCCGGTGCCTGATCCGCCCATTGGTCTCTCTCGCAATGTCACCATGCTGAAGACATATCGCAATAACTATCAGAATACTCATCACTGCTGAGGGATCATACGCACACACTACAAGTTTCACGGTCTCATCTCGGCCTTTCTCGAATCGAGTACGGATCCTCTGCTTTCAGTAGTACGGGCCCATACTACCTTCCACATCTATCCGCACTTTCCTCAAGAACTGCTTCGACTCCACCAGGTCCCTTTTTCTACTACTACTGCTCCCAACATTATCTCATCCTAGGCTTACCCTAGGGAAACCTCTGACTCAACTCAAACCAGTCCCCAGCTGCCGAAGGCCTCCTTGTGATGCTAATTAGCTATCACCTGAGTACCATCACATGTGACGAGGCTCAAATAATCCTTCGAGTAGAAGACTCGTCCCTAGAACGGTTGGACTCAGACAAGAGCTACACAATAGGGTCAAATCCAGCACTCTGAGATTATTCAACTCTGATCACATGTGACGTGACATATTCACCTAATGGCTAACTCCCATCACTCAGAATCCCACAATGCACAAAGCAAGCAACATTCGGACAAGGGAAATATCTAACCATAACATACTCAACAATCATAATCTCATATCAAGAATCTGCACTAGCATGCGGCATAAGCTCATAAACTCAGGCATAACCTAAACAAGCTATCCTACTACTATCTAATTGGCACTATCATGCACCCAAAGCACATATAACAAACACATAAGGCATCCTCCCTAGATCCTTAGTTCTAATCTATCATGCTACTCAACTAACTGATAATCATAACATAAACTTGTATGGGTATTTTGGGGTACTTACTTGAGCTCGGCTGATTGCATGAACCACACTCTTTTCTCTTATCAAAATTCTTTTTCTTTCTAAATTCTTTTCGCTTTTCTAAAACTGTTTCATTTCTAAAAAATCTTTTTACAAAATTGTCTTTTCATTTGGAAAACTTTTAGACCAATCCCTTAATTTGAGTTCAGACACACCCGAGAGTATGTCTGAATCCCTCAAACCAAGGCTCTGATACCAACTTGTAACATCCCAAAAATCCGTACCAACAATTTTTCTTTAAATCGTTTTCAAAGCCATATTCATAAAAACATATCATAAGTCATAACATAAATTCAGAGTATTAATTCCAAAACATATTCCATTATCAGAGTAAAACATCTCAGGCTGACTAATCAATGATGTGTGCCATGCGATCACCCCTTTCCAAGTCTATTCCTCACGTAAAGTTGCAAACGTTATGTGAAACCAAAGAGATATGGGCTTAAAACACTCTAGGGCTAGGGTTTGGGGCAAACATGCTTAACCAACACACCAAAAACTGATACTTTATGGATCTCTAGGCCAAGACACACCTAGATCTGAAGTAGCAACCTCAGATCTGGACTTCTAACTCAAAAAGGCTCCTTATCATACAAAAATGGCCCCAAAACATCATCCATGAGAAGATCTAGAAGCAACAAAGGCAAGGTGACAGATTGTTACCTTCAAACTGATGCTCACAACAAAAGGGTTGGATCCTCCAACTTATTAGTGGTCAAATCCTCCAAACCTTCCTCTTGCAAAAGCCCCAAACCCACTTCCTTCCTTCTCTCACTCAACTAGGTTTTGGAATTGTGTATAGCAGCTTCTAGCTAACAAGGGGGACTAAGGAGAGGACTTAAGGTCCTTTAAATAAGGTGCAAACCCTCGGATTAGGGCTTTCCTCGATCAGACCAGACTTGCCGAGTCCACTTTCCGACTCGTCGAGTCGGTCACTTATTCCATAACCCGGATCCCGCTCCAACTCGTCAAGTTCACCTATGGACTCGACGAGTTGACCCCCCTTTGACTTAGGGTTTTCATTTCCTTTCTTGGTCTTTCTAATTCTGGGTGTTACATGCATTCTCTACCGTTTTTATTGGGGGCACTCTGATATTATGAATAAATTGTTTGATGTTATGCATTTCGAAAACAAATGTGATTGGAATTTTATATTTTATGAAAATGATTTCGTTACTTACAAAATGAAAAAATTTATTGGAAATTTGGGATGTTACAATTTTCATGCCCTTATACGTCTTAACAAAATGGGAACATTGAACGTGGTATTCGGATAATAAATAATATCATTCACATCTTATTCCAAGCTTCTCTTCCGCCCAAGTTTTGGGTTGAAGCTCGTCTTATTGTTGTCCACACTCTCAATCTCCTTTCCACCACCACTCTTGACCTCCAAACTCTTTTTGAGCTTCTTTTTGGCACTTAATGTCATATGACCATCTTCATGTATTTGATATCCAAACCTCTATTCTACAGGTCAACATAAACTAGCGTCCAGATCTTCTACATGTGTTTATCTTGGTCTTTCTTCTGACCATCGTAGTTACCAGTGTCATAACCTCATAACGCGACATGTCATCATCTTTCGTCATGTCATTTTTGATGAGGACCATTCTCCCTTCTCTAACTTCCATGTAACACAATATGCCTCTAATGATGACACCCTCTTCACTGATGATAGCATTCCTCCTCCCGCTCCTTCGGTAATTCCCTCTTCAACCATTTCTACCACAACAAGCAGTCAAATCCCCAACTCCTCTTCTCCTACCTCTTCGTCATATGGCTCTACCCCTCTACCCTCTTACCACCCAACCCCTACCCTTAACCGCTACAAAGGTCGCCTTGTTGCTCAGGGGTTCTCTCAACTTCATGGTCTTGATTTTGATGACATGTTCAACCGTGTTATTAAACAAGCCACCATTTGATGACACAATAGCCTTGTTGCTCAGGGGTTCTCTCAACCTAAGGGTTAGAGCCATTAAATAGGCTCAAATATTGAGGCCTTTGAGGTTTAGCCAAGCAGACCCCTCATGCCACAAACTTCATTAAAAGTCGTCAATGGCGTGTCACGAGCTGGTCACACCGGGACACTTAATGAGTCACGCCGCCACATCCAAAACCCCTTAATTAAACAGCTTTCAAATATTAAATAATTGAAATTACTAACCGAGAAAACGTATGTTAGAATCTATCTCTAATAAATAAGGAGTAATGTAAAATACAAGATACTAGGAAACAATGAAACAAACTTTGACAATAACATTTATTAATATAAATATTATTACCCCGTTCAGCCACTTTACACATACAACATTACATTTTCCTTAACTTTACCTAATGGGATCATTTTATATCAAAATGTTTCCTTTTTCCTATTGACCAATTCAATGGTCATTGAAATTAATATCCACTTAATGCAAATATGACATCACATTATGATTGAGTTTAATCCATAAAATGCGAATCAAAGTTTACATCATTCAACCATCCCACTAAACTATGCATTATAGACACTCTTATTGTTTGTGTATAGCAAAGTGATCGTGTTTTGGATGATCAAACATTAGATAACCATCAAAAGCTTCCATGTATATTTTATGTATTCTTTCTTGCTATATGTCATACACAATTTACTATTTATAACAACGTAAACTTCCAAAACACCAAAATAAAAGTCAAACACATCTTAGGTATGTAGACATAAAACATTACAACTTACACAGTATGCAATACATTTATTGATACAAACTTACTATTTATACATCATATAGTAGAATTATATTTTAAAAAGGATTTTGAAACCATCATAACTGTCCCTATCAATTGGGCTTGGGCTAGAGAGGCTTTGAGACCCAAAGTTACCACACTTGGTACTCTGGCTGATCATTCAACCAGAGAAAGAGGCTGGGCTAGCCCAGGCAGAAAGGCCCGCTCCAAATAAGAGCAGACTAACTCCAACCAAGAGCGGGCCATCAGCCTGCTACCCACTAATGTGAAACTATTTTCATGAAGTTTGCAAACCGGTCATCTTCAACTGTATTTATATTCAAATCACAAAGATCCTCTTCATAATAACTCCATAAATACGAAGTCTCTTCATCACAAATCACATCCTCCAACAAACACAAATCAATCACCGAATCCGGTAACTCTTCTAATCCCCGACAACCACTCATCTTAATCACTCTAAGACCATTCAACTCCCCAATCTGATGAGGCAACATACTTATACTCAAACAATCCGATATATCAAGGAACACCAAATTACTAAGGAACCTAATCGAATCGGGCAATCGAACTAACCTCGTACAAGAATGAATCCTTAAAACCTCCAAACTCGACAAACTACCCAACTCTTTAGGAAGAGAGTCAATCTCATGGCAATTTGTAATGCTTAGTTTCTTGACATTTTTAAGACTACAAAATTCTGAGGGTATTTCCATCAAATCATAACAACGGTCGATTTCAAGCTCTAAGAGATTCGGAAGCGTAACATTTCTACAACTCGCTAATGCACTACCAATCTCACACATGATAATTGAAAGCTTCTTTAATTCGTACAAGTCCAAAATGGATTGGATTGAGTGAGAAAGTGAGAGATGTTCGAGTCTTATTCTTTTTAGATTTGTTAGAGAACTAACGAATTGAAGTTCATGTAACTCGCAAGGAAACGTCCCATAACTTGTGATGATTAAAACTTTTAATTTATTCATTTTTTTGATGAATGAGGGGATTTCGTATTTTCGGCTTCGAATGTTTAATACCAAAACTTCAACGTTTGGCGCGTTTAGATCATACCAAATCGACGAGAATGATTCGTCTGCAGAAAGAAAATGGACATTTTACATTGGTTTTGTTAAAGAAAAGGTTAATTACAAGAGATAGCAACATAATTTTGTTGCTTTGTTTATTATAGCATCATACTTGAATTACAGTTGGAGCCTAGTGGTTGATGTGCACAGTTCCAAAAGGAAGACCCACGGTTTTTGAACAAGGCGCTCCGCAATTTACCCACATGATGGATCCATCGATAGGGCACGATTTTTTTTTTATAACTTTTATGCATTCCCATTTTAACAATTTACTTTGAAAATTCTACCCATTTAAGAAAAATAATCAAATTTTGGGATAAAGAAAATATAATAGAAAGAAATGAAAATAGGATGTTGTGATACTAATACACAAAAGTATGTTGCTATTTTTTGCACATAAAGAAAAGGAGAATGGGAAGAAATGAAACCTGTTGTGATAGACAAGAGACGTGCAGCCATAGGTTCTTGCTTTTGTTGAATCCACCATGTGGGTATTTGATTCTTGTAAATTTCAATCAACAATCTTGTTCTTTGAGATATTGGATCTTGGCTACTCAAATGGATGCCTAAATCTCTTAACAAATCATGCTGTGTGACATAGTGCTCGTTGCAATACCCTTCGAGTTCACTACCATCTTTCCTGAAAAAAATCAAACAAAAATCGATTAATCACTGGAGAAATAACAAAATTAATCTTTGTGTATTATTATGAGTATTTGATATAACAAACTTTTACCTTGTGACAACAAGATTGAGAAGGTTTCTTGAAGAGAGTTCAAGAAGGTATTCACTTGTATACATTCCTTCATCATCTAAGTTATATGATTCTACCCACATGTCCATTAAAGCAGAGGCTGTAATTTTTTCATCTTCTGGAAACAAACCCAAATCTAGAAAACAGTCTTTCAATATTGGCAAATCTTCAAGTGCATCAACACTTGACTGAAGACTAAGCAACAATTGGCTGCTTGAATGAAAGATAGATTGACCTTCTGACCATTTCTTCAAGGTTGACCTCCATTTGACCACATTTTGACCACATAATGATGCACCAATTACAGTAAGCGCCAATGGAAATCCCTTGCAGTATTTAACCATCTAAAATGATAACCATGAACAAAAAAAGTTGAATTCCAGTGTAATCATATGTAAAAAAGGTATTATTCTAAAAGATTAAGAAAAACTTTACCTTGTTCACAAGATCATCTGGAACATTTACGGAATTCATGTTATGAAATGCAGAAGAGCAAAAAAGGGTCTTTGCATCTTGATCGTTTAACAAAGTTAGTTCATATGTGGAACCGAATCTTGAAAACAAGAATCTTGATGTCACCAAGATTTTGTATCCTGATATTGGAAACTTAAGATCTTGAATTAGTGATTCGGATTCTGACCACACGTCATCCAGCACCAGCAATATGTTCTTTGATCCCATTTGTCTCATAAAGTTCTCTAATTGGTTCTTTGCCTCTTCATCAGTTTGTAACTCACAATGATTCACATGAAAATGTGCAAATAGTTTCTGGATGATTGTCTTAATGGAGGTTGTTCTAGAAACAGTAACATAAAAGATGTTGTCCCCAAAAATCCCTGAACAAAACAGTTACCAATGAGATCATGAATAAATGGATAGACGAAAAGCTCAATAGTTTATGTACCTTTGATTTCATTATCATGACAAAGCATCTTTACTAATGTAGTCTTCCCACATCCTCCAGGAGCTGAAACTGTTACAATTTGGGTTTCATCTTTGAGCAGCATTCGTTTCAATTCTTGAAGATGAAAATCCAATCCAATGATGACATCTGGAAGCCCTGGAACACTGCAAGAATCAGAAAATCCACCTGTCTGTTTGGTAACAGCTGCTAGGACTTGATCCAATTTGTCTCCCAAAGCATAAAGCTCAAACAAACTCCTCCTGCTAGAGCTCAAATTATCCTGCAATTCACTCTGAAAGAAACTCAAAAGCATGTTGTCCAATCCAATCAGCTTGTTGGCGTGATGAAATTTCTTGTATACATTCCAGCATTTGATCTCTGAGCACTCCATGACTACTTCTTTTCCATTTGCCACATAATATATGAACATTTTGGTCTCGTCTTCAGGTCGATACAACACTTTTCTCAACCTCTCATATCCATAAAAAATCGGTTCAATGTTCTTTAATGTTCTCTCGATGCGCTTGAGTAGAGTTCTGAATTTGGCAGTTCTTTTGGTTTCGAATACCACAGTATTCAGTAGCTCCACCATTACTGTTCGTAGAGCTGCTTCATTAGCGTTTGGCGCAATCATCTGTAAAAACCACAATTACAAATTTACAATTTACACAACGAAGTAAAATAAAAACCCTAGCAATCAGATTTCGACTTAAATTCAAATTCAATAATGTAAAGCGGCAAAAACTCATGATCCTCCGCGGGTTTATAATTCCAAGGAGAAGAATATTTATTGATTAGAACATCGAGTACAGAGTACAGGAACAGATTCACAAAATTGAAAATACCTCGACACTTCGAAATTGATAAAATTTAAGAATCAATTAGCGCGTATGCGTGTGGATTCACCACTAGCTTGTAACAGATGTAAGAACACGACGTCTTCCTCTGTAACATCGATAGAGGTGGAGGGAACGTTGCTGAGCCGGGGAGGATGATGGGAGGACGGTTCGTTCAACCGCTTTTTAATTTGTTGGAAAGTGAAAAGGAATTGTTAACAATTTGACGAGTAATTCTTCCATATATATATCTATTTTTAAATGACAAAAAATATTTTTTATGTCGATTTTTTTTTTTTTAATTATGAAAAATATATTTTAAAGTAAGAGGTCCGAGTCATAATTCTTAAAATTGTAATTATAAGAAAAATAGCTATCAGAAAAGTAATCTGGCATTATTGATATAAACTTATACTCAAAATCATTAAACATTTACTTTAAAATATCTATAAACCTAAAAAAAACCCGATTGAAAAAACAATTTTTAGGTCAACTATGTTGTATCACTTTATGTTGTATCACTTTGAATATTCAACAAATAAAAAAACCTTTAAAATCAAATATGATGTCTAAATGAAAAAATAAGATGTTTTTTAACCAACCCCAGAAATAATTAGGATTTACATCGATCACCATAAATTTTAAGAAAGAATAAGTATTTGCAGTTGTTCGGATGTCTAAAAGAGGCAAGCAACATTGCTAGTAATGAAGGTGGATGCTCTTATGATTGACAATGAAAATTGTGAGAGGTCCATACCATAAACACATTAAAAATACAATCCATACCATTTGCTCGAATCGTGCAGGCATTGTATAGATACAACTTCAATCGATAACCTTTAGGTTTAACTCTTGAGGTAGAAAACGAATGTGGTTTGCCTCTATTGTTAATCACTCAAACAAAACGAATCACTCGAAATAGCAAAGGTTTCTCACAATACTATAATGCTAGTTCAAACTTGGAATATTATTGAGAATTCGGTATTTGCATTATGAATATGAAGCTATATATAGAGCGGAGCAATTGAGACTACCTGGCTACGTCTTCGTTTCATACTTTCATTATTACTCATTATAAAATGACAAAATTACATAAATGGTCCTTATGGTATAGAGTAGTAGGCACTTCTAGTACAATTTTAAAAAATGGACAGCTCAATCCTTATGGTATGTGGATATTAAAAAGAAAATAATAACAAAATATTAAAATATTAAAAAGAAAACAAATGGTAAAAAAGCCATTTATACAAATTTAACGGAAGTATTATGTGAAAATGTCATCTCCTCGATATTGACCATACGCAAAAATTGAGTTTTTCTACTTTTTAACTTATATTGGAAGTGTCTATTACCCCATATATACCACAACCACAAGGACCATTTATATGTAGTTTGTGTTAACAACGTAAACAAATTTTTCTATGTAACGCAAGCTAACAATGCAAACATACTTTTTCATGTAATGCAAGCTAACAATGTAAACATAAGTGTACGTATTTAATTATTTTGGTCTATAAATAGAGTGAATATATATACACTTGTCTCGATTTATTTGAGCTCTTATTTGTAGTTATGACTATCCCATATTACCCACAACACAAGTGAACATTTGTCTGTTGTGTATTCAAGTAGTAACGGGGTCGGATCTCAAATTTAATCGGCTAGATGTTCTTATATACAAAAATGAATACATAGCTAACATATAAACATCTTTATCGAAGTTTAAGCTAAGTCACATCATCACATGCTGCATTTTTTGAGACAAAAAAAGACCTACAAGCTGAATACATCTTGACCAATAATAATCATGAGATTAATCATCAGTATCATCCCTGCAAGCTGAATTGAAGGCAATGTTGTCTTGCATATGCATGCTACGCAAAAGCATGCAAATTTCAAATGATTGAGCTTGTGATCATCAAAATATATTTCAGAGTATGAATTGTCGTAAATCTTTTCAAGAATATATAACGACTAATGTAGAACATATTTGAATCCGAAATACCAATGTAATGTTTCTAAAAAAATAACCCATGCTCAAAAAATGAGCAGGGATATGATTACATGAATGCTAAGTTGTTCAGTGATATTTAAGCAAAAAAATAATACTCTATCTTTGGGTGTGAAAAATAATGGCGATTCTATTGAGGCAACAACCTATTCGAATGAAACAATGTTTTTGAGGGTGATAATTTCGATAATTTTTAGCTGTCTCATACAGACATATTACATTTGAATTTAAAAATTGAAAATTTAATTATGTTTTTTCTTTATGTGGCGATTGGCAATAGTTTGTTTCTTATTTACATGCCTACCCAACGTTTATTGCATTTTGGGTGGACTTTAATCACTTTATATTTTATCTTGTTGAATTTTCAAAAAAAAAAAAAAAAAAAAAAAAAATGCAAAAGTGATATATTTATATATTTGTAATATTATACCCTTTCACATAGGAAATAACATTGCATAAAATCATGTAATTTGGTTGACATAGGTGTTTTAAGAATTTTAGTTATTTGGTAAAACTGTTTACAGTTTACTTTATAGCGTACACATTATGTCCCTTGTAGTCTTTACACTCTATATCTGTACTTGATATTATTATGAATAATCCAAGAAGTGTGTCATGTGGTATAAATTGTCATTTAACTGTAATTTCGATGTTCATATTTCACACAAGATTTGTTGTAATTTAACTGCAATTTCAGTTGCATCTGTCTCTCTGACTCTAGTCGTTCTAAATGGTTGAAACTTTCTTATGTTTATCGAAAACTACTTGAACAATTTTATTTATTTGTATTTATTTATATTTGTATAATTATTCTATATTGAGAGATAAATATATGTATTAATTAAAAGACTCACTTATCATATACGACACGTAGACACCTAATCAAAAGAAGAATTAATACATAGAAAAGTGAACGTTAGACTAAGTACTTTAACATAACTTTACAAGTAAGATAAACATAAAACAAAGTGTTAATGTTATAAATGAATAATAAGTTTTTAAAAAGTATCACCACAAGGAAAACAAGGAGAACATTTTGTTCACAATATACCATAAAACCATTAAAATAAGGATATTTTACAAACAAAAAGTTGAGGTTGTTTACCTTATGATAATACTTTGTTAAAAAAAATGGTGTTTTGTGAAAAGAAAAATCGTTATGCATTATACAAATTTTGATTTGACGAGTAAGTCATAAAAGATTATTTGATTCCACTCGCTAAAATAGTTCATATGTACTTGTTTCACTCCTTACCGAATTCCAAGGAATATATTCATGTTTAGATCGAAATTTACGATACATTACTTCAAGGAATAGTTTAAAACCGAAATACACTTCAACTTCTTCTAGTCTTTTTAAATTTGCTACAAGGACTTTTCATATATTCGTACAAATATTTAAATATCAGGTCCCATCATTTTCTTAAATTTGCAAGCAATTAAATATAGAAGAAATTCATGTGAAAATGTCAAGAAATTGTAACTAATTATGGAATGGTTGGATTCGGGCAAAAGGTTAACAAAAAAAGGTAATATATAGAATGATATGAAGTAGGAGGGGACTTCTAAACATAAAAATGACTCAATGCCAAACTCGATAAAAACACCATAACCAAACACGTTTAAGATATTGAAAAATCACATTTGGGATGAAAAAGAAGGAGTCATTTGAGATTTCTTGGTTATAAACTACTAATAATTTCATGCATATATCAAAGATACATTTGAGTGCTCTCATTTATGTATTGTATAATAAATTCATGAATTTATATAGTATTATACATGAAAGATTATACAAAATTTATATATAAACAAGCGCAATTCTTCAAGATGATGTGTAGTTCAGATGAACTTCTAATGTCGGAGATATTTCTAACACTTTAAATTATCTTTATGCTAATTTGAATCAACACGTTATCACAATTTAGGTGTAACATATATTTATGGTACCTTATCACTTCACGCGAAAAGTGTCACTATTTTAAATGTATACTTGTTATTTCGTATACGAGACATTACTTGAAAGTAAGGACATATGTGATGGTTACTCTTCAGCTTGATATAGTCATACAAAATTTTAAATAAAAACTAATAAAAATCGTTGAACATATTCAAATACGAAATACTATTCTTAAACTGCGATCCATAAAAAATTAAACAAAAGTTTCATAGTCAAAATAGAATAGAACTATCTATGAAGAAAATTGAAATGTACTATCAATATCTGTGTTAATATTGGACTTTCGATATTTCCATTCATATGTTGTTTTAGGTTGTTTCTTGCTTGTGTTTTGCATTGGAATTATGATATTTTACCTTGTTTTAACTTATTCAAATGAAAGAAACATATTTATGCTTACTTTAAAGCAAAGTTATTAGATCCATCCTTTAGGTAGACAAAGTTAATTACAAGAAATATGACATAATAGTTGAAACTCACTCACTTATAAATAAATCGATTAACGATCAGATTAGATATATACTCCATACAATATCCCAAAGCTTTTAGTTAGAAATTTTATATTATTATTTTAATAATATGGTCTTTTATTATATTAAACACAAATTCTTAATAATAAAACTTAGACAAGAAAATATTCAACTCAACCAAACTTGTTTTTTGACATGGTAGATATTAGACAACTGCATTAGTACATTTTGTCGTTAAAAAGTTGTTACAAGGGTCAAATGGCAATAATGTCTAAACATAAATGGCCAAAATGGACAAATAAATAATTGCAAATAAGACCTGAATGACAAAATAACAACTCGTTAACGCGGACTCACATCAGAAGGTTGTATCCGACTATTGCTTTCGGGTTTCGATCGCTTTGCTTCGTAATTTCTGAAACCGAATCCCACTCACATGCATCTTAGCGAATAATATCACGAGCTTTTCATCATTCCCAACAACTTGAATTCAGGCATCTTCTGAGTGCTGAGGTAAGAATCATGACTTTTGATTGGTTAGGGATTTAAAACATTGGGGATTTGTTTTGGGTTTCTGCATGCTAATCATATACATGTAGTGAATTCTGAGTAAAAATGTGATTTTGTCAACTAATTCTAAGTATGAGTTGCCATGAATCTTTAAAAGAATAACCCATAATGGAGGACTTACTTGAACTAAAACACCCACGAAACACTCATATATAGCAGAAAACGTGAGCACGTACATGTCTGCGTAAGTTGCTTGGTGAGATTCAAGCCAGGAATACTCGCTCTTGCGATATAATGATATCTGCGTATGAAAAATCATGGCTGTTTTTGTTGAGGCGATAACCTATTCGATGAAATGCCTCAATGACATAAAACGTTTCTCGGGTGTGATTGTTTAATTTGTTTTAGCAATTTTAATATTAAATTACACGCCTCCGTTTTCCAGTAACCATATGTTATTGCATTTTGGGTGAACTTTGGACTTTCTACAAAGTACAGACCTTGGAGTTGAAAATAACTAAGGTGGTGTTTTTTTTTAATCCAAAAGGAAATTCATGCAAATCTGTGGACCACCTGTGCAATGCTCTACAGTAAAGAGGTAGACCAAACGGTTGCAGTCCGTAATAAGAAACATGTTTGTTTTCAAACATTTACTGACTGCTGTAATAAATTGAAATTTAAATAAACTAATTTTATAATTTTTTATTGAAATTTTAATAATTTTAGTGTTAAAACATTGAAAGAACACCAAAAAAACATGTGAAAAAATAAAAATATAAAATTTCCAAAAAAGAACATAAAAAAGAAGCTATCATTTTTATTTTAGAAAAAAACTAATTTTAAAAAACATAAAAAAAATAATAAAAAATTTAAGAAAAAGTTCGTAAAAGAATTACACATGTTAAAAAAGCTGCAACCGAAACTGAAAATATTATTAACAAAAAAGGTAAAAAAGAAATTAAAAAAATTAAAGTTTTTTTTTTTTTTAAATCAAGTTATAAAAAAATGTGGAAACTATAAAA